GGGGGTCATGTGAAGATATTTTGACATTGGGGAATGGGGTGCTTTTTTAAAAAGACACCTTGAGTTGGAATGTTCCTAAATCACTGCCCTTTCTATTATGGTATGCGTCTGTCTGTCTGTCTGTCTGTCTTCATTACAGATAATGTCACCCAGGTGTGTAGGGACGCCTCTGCATGTGAAGTAGAATATGTGAAATATGTTGATGACAAACCCAGAACATATTAGTATTGAATGCTTTCCAAGCTGGTGAGGCATTGCAAAATCCAGAGAGTAAATTCATCGCTAAACCACTTTAAGATGATTCATAGGGATTGTCTAACACTTAATCAAGGTGGTGAGGTAAGTTGCTGTGTTAACGTATATACACTTTTCACGCTATTGAACTGCCCCAAACCATACTGTGCTGGCTTGTATATATTTTCTTATAACATTGTCCTTTCCAGCATGGTTCGAGCAAGTAGTGGATGCCAGCTCAGTAGAACTCGACTCTGTTCGGCTCAGCAATGTGAAAAGCCCTATATAGGTTTTACAACTTTAGCCTACCCAGAATTGGATTCAGAATCAAATACAAATATAGGATATATACAGGATATACAGGATTTTTCCTAAAACTTAGGCAGCCAGGTGTATTTACAACCTTTATTTATACTATTGTACTGTAAAAATTGGCCTGATGCATGCTGTTACACCTCTGTGAAGTGGATTATTTCTATAGAACTCCTTCCTGCTTATACGACAGCTACTTGCCACAGAAAACAAAACTAACATATGTACAGGTAGAAATGTATTCAGTTATAGAAAACTTGTCATCTTGTGGACAGCAAAATCCCCAGTCAGTGTGTTGGCAAGTAGCCTCGCATGTCAGTTTTGACCAGTGATTAAAAAAACTAAAGATTTGCAGTGACGCAATCGGAACAAATCATAACAACTTATATTTATCAGATGTGAATTGTACAACACTATTTGGATATGTGGACTGTGATGTTTCTGATAATTTATTGTTGTCAATAACTAGCCACACCCGAAACAATCATGGTTGTTTTAAAACTGGTTTGGTTTGTCATTAGATTTCATATAATAAGATGCCATGTTTATTTAAGCGTTGAATCACTCCCTGACGTCTCCCTGACTTCTCCTATGACGCTGAAAGGTGTTAGGTTTCTTTGAATCTGTTCTATTAAACATGCCATTACATCCACAATAAGGAACATCCTCCTTGTTTTATGTGTGAATGCCATGGTATGAAATGAAAGATGAATAGTACTAGTGCTTAGTTTATAATATCACTTTGTAGATGCTTTTATTGAAAGCGAACCACAGTAGAGTATGATTACATTTTTGTGTGGAGGACTCCAGTGGGAACCAAACCCACGACCCTGGCATTACAAGAGCCACACTCTACATAATGGTACATAATGGATCTTGGAAAACTTGTAATGCTAGCATTCACCAATTCAGACATGTAAGAATGCATTTTCAAAGTATTTGGACCGGGCCTATACAGTGCATTCGGAAAGTATTCAGACCCCTTGACTTTTTCCACAATTTGTTATGTTACAGTCTTATTCTAAAATTGATTTTAAAAATATATAATCCTCAGAAATCTACACACAATACCCCATAATGACAAAATGAAAACAGTTTTTTAGAAATGGTTGCACATTTATTAAAAATAAAAAACAGAAATACCATATTTACTTAAGTATTCAGACCCTTTGCTATGAGACTCGAAATTGAGCTCAGGTGCATACTGTTTCCATTGATCATCCTTGAGTGTCACGCCCTGGCTCTGGGGACTCTTAAATGTTGAGCCAGGGTGTGGATTTGCTATATTTAGTTTTTCTATGTTTTTGTTCTAGATTGTTTGATCTATGTTGGCCAGGGTGGTTCCCAATCAGAGGCAGCTGTAGCTCGTTGTCTCTGATTGGGGACCATACTTAGGCAGCCTGTTTTGCATTAGTCTTTGTGGGATCTTGATCCGTAAAGGTTTGTTGTGTTATAACCTCAGGACTTCACGTATCGTTTGTTTGTTGTTTTTGTCGTTAAGTACGTTAAATAAAAGTATGTACGTTTATCACGCTGCGCCTTGGTCCGTGTCTTCAGTCAACGATCGTGACATTGAGATGTTTCTACAACTTGATTGGAGTCCACCTGTCGTAAATTCAATTGATTGGAAAGGCACACCCCTTTCTATATAAGGTCCCACAGTTGACAGTGCATGTCAGAGCAAAAACCAAGCCATGAGGTCGAAGGAATTGTCTGTAGAGCTCCGAGACAGCATTGTGTAGAGGCACAGAGCTGAGGAAGGGTACCAAAACATTTCTGCAGCATTGAAGGTCCCCAAGAACACAGTGGCCTCCATCATTCCTAAATTGAAGAAGTTTGGCAAAGAGTTCAATCGTGGTTTCATCAGACCAGAGAATCTTGTTTCTCATTGTCTGAGAGTCCTTTAGGTGCCTTTTGGCAAACTCCAAGCGGGCTGGCGTACCTTTTACTGAGGAGTGTCTTCCGTCTGGCCACTCTACCATAAAGGCCTGATTGGTGGAGTGATGCAGAGATGGTCGTCCTTCTGTAAGGTTCTCTCATCTCCACAGAGGAACTCTGGAGCTCTGTCAGAGTGACCATCGGGTTCTTGGTCACCTCCCTTCTTCCCCGATTGCTCAGTTTGGCCAGGCAGCCAGCTCTAGGAAGAGTCTTTGTGGTTCCAAACTTCTTCCCTTTAAGAATGATGGAGGCCACTGTGTTCTTCGGGACCTTCAATGCTGCAGACATTTTTTGGTACCCTTCCCCAGATCTGTGCCTCGACACAATCCTGTCTCTGAGCTCTGTGGACAATTCCTTCAACCTCATGGCTTGGTTTTTGCTCTGACATGCACTGTCAACTGTGGGACCTTATATAGACAGGTGTGTGCCTTCCAAATCACGTCCAATCAACTGAATGTACCACAGGTGGACTCCAATCAAGTTGTAGAAACATCTCAAGGATGATCAATGGAAACAGGATGCACCTGAGCTCAATTTCGAGTCTCATAGCAAAGGTTCTGAATACTTATATAAATACTTTTTCTAAATTTGCAAACATTTCTAAAAACCTGTTTTCGCTTTGTAGTTATGGGGTATTGTGTGTAGATTGATTAGGATTTTTATTCAATCCATTTTAGAATAAGGCTGTAAAGTAACGAAATGTGGAAAGGGAAGGGGTCTGAATACTTTCCAAATGCACTGTCCGTTGAACAATAACTAACCAGACCCTGATTATTTGGCGCCCTCTTGCTGTAGAGACAAAATATGACTGATGAGGTCCCTCACACTGGCAATGCAACGGTGAATATATTTTACAGTTGTTCTTACAATGCAAGATATATTGCATCATCTTATCATCTTGAAAGTTAAGCCAGTAACAATCTATTTGTGTAATGAGGTATTAATGGAATTCTTACTCTTTTCAGGTTCTTCAACCCATTGACACATTTTTTTCTCTTGAATTACTTGTCATTAGGTCTGATGCAGAAGGATCTGGCCCACAGATTCAAAATCCACCAGTCAACTGTAAGCCGCATCATAAATACATGGGCTAACTTCCTGTATACTGTACTAGGGACTGTGGGTATTTGGCTGGATGAGGAGACTGTCAAATCTCACATGCCAGAGGTTTTTCAGGGTTACTCTGACACACAAATTATTTTGGACTGTACCGAAATACGCTGCCAAACACCTAGTTCTCTTCTCCTCCAGAGTGAGGTGTTCTCGAACTATAAATCACACTGTACATTTAAAGGATTAATTGGGATGGCCCCTCACGGTGCAGTAACCTTTGTGTCGTCTCTCTATGAAGGTGCCATCAGTGATAAAGAGATTCTGAAGCAGTCTGGTATTGTGGCTATCTTAAACCCATCTATGGCCATAATGGTTGACAAGGGTTTCCTTGTAGAAGACTGTGTGCCCTGCAAGGTCCACATACCTACCTTTCTGTGTAAGAGAGCACAACTGTCTGAGCCAGAGGTCAGGAAGACACAATCTATTGCCAGACTGAGAGTCCACGTTGAGCGGCTCATTCGCAGGGTTAAGGAACATAAATTATTCAGTACAGTAATCCCTCTTTCATTGACGGGCAGCATCAATCAACTTTACACAGTTGCCTGTCTTTTGGTCAATTATCAAAATGGGCCCTTGGTTAAAGCCTGGGCAACCAATGGCTACTGTTGGCAGCACAATCCTAAAATGAACACTCATGGATGGCTATGGAACAAATAGGCTGTGATGAAATATGTTATAAAATTCATGTCTTTTTTTTTCAAAAATGTTTTTATTGTGCCACAGATTATCGTACAGACAGTAAATTAGTCAAGTCAGCGCTCACTTTTTTAGAACGGTAACAGTAAAGTTACAACTATTAATCTGTATACATACAATATTCGGTACAGAAAAACAGAATTAAAGCACACAGTGCGAAACCAAAGCAAAAAATAATAGAGAAATGAGGATAGAGAAAAAAAAAGGTAAGAGTGCATACAAGAAAGTCTCAGTATTTGTATGTTATAACTTGATATGTTACAATTTGTATATGTGACAATTAAAGGGGAACTATGCAGCTTTTTTAGCTTAATTTACCTTAACTGAACAGCTTCGGAGTCATTGGAATGGTTATATGACTTTTTTCGAGTTGAATGGTGGTCGTGTCCCTTCCCCCTAGCGCCTGTGAGCGGAAAAAACACCCTTGCAACTTTCGGCCGGCGAGCCGCCGTCCACAGCGTCAGGAAGTATCGCGTGATATCAGGTCTCGCGATGTAATGAATTGCTTCACAGCACTGCACACATACGCCCATTCAGGAACCGGCTAACAAGGTAGCAATGGAGTTTTTCACACTATCGTCATGGCTGAGCCGGCCAAAAAGAAGCAGAAAGCTAGGAAAGCATTGTCGGAGGAACAGAGAAAGAGGAAACGGCAGGCTGACAGAGCGAGGAGTCAGACACAAATAAAAATAGGAGCTGCCAAATATCTATATGTAGGGAGAGCTCTATAGAGAAAAAAGCGAAGAAATTACCAAAACTGCATAGCGCCCCTTTAATATTACAATGTTGTAAATAAGACAGTTGACAAAATACATTTTTAAATGATTGTACAATAATTAATGTGTCTGTTCAGTTACTTTTCATAGAGGTATTTTGACATGTATGTGTTAAAGAAAAACAAATCACATCTCTCTTTCAGGGAGCTTAATACAGTGCTGTCTCGGCAAATGCGCTGCACAAAAATGTAATCGTGGGCACAGACAACAAAATCACACCATTCCATGCCTGTGATGAGTAACTGTCCCTAGACTTGCCAATAATAACAATGGCTTTCCTTAAATTTGTGTAGGCCATGGTCAAATCTCAGGAACTTGCAGTCTATGTAGCTGGCTACATTTGGGCATTTCATTTCAACTAGACCAAATGATGGTCGCTCAAGTGGGTCATATACCAGCCCATCAGGCGATGCACCCAGCCAAGGTGCGTCCGGATGCACGACTAGCCCACACTTTGTCAGATTAAGATTTTTTAGAACTGCATAGTCCTTCAATGCACCTGCTTCCATTTCCAGCCTCCTTTTCATTAGTGGTGTTTGTCTTGTCCCTCTGATAATTCTTTCTGCCAGTTTTTCTGCTGTGCTTGTACCTCTAACATGGCTTACCTCCCGGAAATGTGAAGCAGTCACTCTCTCCTTCCTCAGTGAATGCCACTCGGGTGTTTCACTTTGGCATCTGGTTGCTTCCTCAATCAGGTGTGACTGTGACAAAGTCACAGACAGAGAACTGAGGTGAAGCTTTTCTTGATCCGTCATGATCTCGTATGAACAGTCTGTTGGTTGTAAATGGTAACCGTCCAGTGGCACTTTTGGGAATGGTGGTGCATCCTCATGGATGACAACACTGTCAGGTGGAGGTGGTGGGTGTTGATATGACAGGATACTGCCAGTTTGTACGTTGCCAAAAATGGAGTCCACGAGTGGTTTGTCAGATGTGATGTTCATTCTGCAGATAGGGGGAAGAGAGTCTGGTTCCATGTCAGCATAGGCAGGTAGTGGGTTGAGGGTTGATGGGTCTGGTAGCTCACCACTGTAGCCCTTGTAAAGTGTAGATCTGGAATTACAATATCAGGAAAAGTAAAGGGTTCACTAGGAAATACACCAGAACCTAACAGCGATTAATAACATTTATTTCGCAACACATTGTAGTCTGCCTATTTAATTGGACTCTGCATACCTAATTCCGCTTGCCGGAGTAGCATCTGGTTTGGGCTTCACTACAACCATGGCATCCACAGGTCCTGGCTTCACTCCCTATTTATTTATGAGATGGTATTAGGAGAGATGCTAGTATGCATGTGACACAACTGTCTGGTATTGAAATGATACAAACCATTGTTCGTGGTTTATGCCACTTCTGCTCTGTTTCAGTGCACGAAAGTACAGGAGGGACGACAGACATGCCACATTCAGAGTAATGGGCAGTCTGATATAGTAATGCAACCAAATGATTGCATATCCCACACCCAGCCACACAGGAACAGTAGCTTTTAACAAGCACAACTGGCTCTGAATCACGCAATGTCATCTGAAATACACAGAAGCATAATTTAATGGGTTTTGAAAGACGAGGGTCTACAGCAGCAGGAGCAAAACTTGTTCTTTCTACTTTTTACTGGTGTAAGCAACTTATCTACTGTCTCGTGTCACTTTTGTGCTTTCTGCATCACTTTCCTACTGTCTTGCACCACTTGGCTATCCTGTCTCCCACCACTTACCTATTGTCTTGTGCCATTTACCTACCTTCAAACAGTATTGGCAGAGCAGTAGGTGAGTGGTGCAACATTGTAGCCTAGTACCAATAACAACAGTAGAGTGAAGGTTTTGCTCCTAATTCCTCTTGAAAAGTAGAAACATCAAGTACAAAAGCAAGGAAGTTGGGCCATATGTTTATAAAGAAAGAAGTAAAGATGACAGGACAGTTTTGAATAGAACATCAGCAGTTTGAAGAATAGCTGAGTGGAATATGTTACTGTCATTGCAGTCATCAAGTCAGGAAAAAGTAGTAATTTCATTATTGTTTACATTTCAAACCAAACTCCAATTTGTTTACAACAGACCCAACAACAAAGCATGGCAATTCCCACTCAGCTACCCTGGTCTGTATTAGGCTACCACTGTTCAGCTATCGTGAAAACCACTAAAGTTCTAAAGTGTTCTCTTAGCAATGGCAATCAAAGCTGTGGTAACATTAAATGAGTAAAACGTGTGTTGAACGGAACCTTGAACAAGTTCAACAGAACTTTGAACGTGTCACTTAATCTAGTCCTACTCTCAGCTGGTGTGGTGGCTTTAGTTTCTTCATTGAGCGGTAGCAGTGGGCTCTCACAGAGATCTCATTTGTAGCCCTGTTTTTACCTGATACTTTCATAAAAGTACAAACACATGAAGTGAGAGGTATATACACATGATTAAACTTTATTTCAAGCATGATTAACCTGAAGCAGGACGGAGTCATGACTTAAAACACCTAAGCAAGGCTTCTAGCTCAAGCTAGCTAGCGTTAGCATATTACCTTCAAAGTTGCAAAGAAAATAAGAAACGTAAAATTTGAAGCCTTTATCCAGTTTGCTACGTGGTGTCGTACTGGATGTCTGGACGACCCTCCGTATATCATTAACAGATACTTTAGGCAACTCCAGCAAACACCTTGTAAACTTCATCTCTGCCATCATAACGGTCTACGGTCACTGTCTAATGTTTTTTTCCGGTAACCGGAAATGCCCAAACATGCGGAAGTGATGCGTGCATAGAGCCTATAGTGACGTATTCTGACTAATGGAGGTGGTCTTTGCAGGCCCCCAGCGTCCGGTCTGGAGCGTGAAATCACGAGCTCTGCTGTTCGGCTACTGCTTAGCAACCTAGCGATGCCAAAAGCCCTGGTCTGCCCTAGAAAGCCTATGTAAATTACAATCGGCAGAACGGCCAAAGTTGTTGTGATTCTACCAACAATGACAAGGAACTGCCACGTGTAAGTTACTTGTTTCAGCTTGTTCTTGATACCATGTCTTTTTTTTAAATGTTTTGGCTAATTTCATGTCAATGTAAATATGGCTACGTTGAACAGAGTTGAAACTCAACATGATTGTTTTTGCATGACATGGGCGTGATTGATTGTAATAATATTGTTTCTAAACTGAATGAAAGTCAAATTTAGCCCTATCATAGACTAAGGAAGTGGGCGGAGCGGTAGAGAGAGGGAAACTGAAGATAATGGTGGGGGAACCTAAGAGGGAGGAGCTTTAAGCTAAGATGTATGTAAATATTACTATATAAACGGAGAGCTGAGAGGTAGAGGGAAGGTGCTCTGCAGATCATCTTGGCTTCCGTTACTCTGTGTAATAAAATCTATCTTGATTCTACAAAAACTCTGGAAGAACTTTGATTTTTAATAAGTATAGTGATAATTTTCCACAACACATGAAAAGTAGTTGGCCTTTTCATCTATCCCCTAAAGTGGCATTCCTACCTGAATGATAGAAGGACACAGTCGTCTGTTGAAGCTCGTGGGTTTCATGTGGGGCCTGTCCTCGCATTCGCTTGCTGTCCTGTTTCCCCGTCCTCTCCTGCTCATCCAGTTCCACTTTCATTTTTTTCTCTTGAGGCTCTTCTAGAGAGTCCTCTGCCAGCTCCACTGGCCTTGTCACCGTTAGGACCCTTCCCTCCAGAGTCCAATAACTCGTGGAACTTTTCTTTGGTTGTGAGAAACCTGAAACAGAGAATGCTAAATCACATTGATATACAATGCATTCGGAAAGTATTCAGACCCCTTAACCTTTTCCACATTTTATTACGTTACAGCCTTATTCTAAAATTGATTAAAACATTTATTTTTCTCAGCAATCTACACACAATACCCAAAATTTCAAAGTGAAAACAGGTTTTTAGAAATTTTTGCAAATGTATTAAAAATAAAAACAGAAATACCTTATTTACGTAAGTATTCAGACCCTTTGCTATGAGACTCGAAATTGAGCTCAGGTGCATCCTGTTTCCATTGATCATCCATGAGATGTTTCTACAACTTGATTGGAGTCCATCTGTGATAAATGCAATTGATTGGACATGATTTGTCGGTCCCCTGTAGCTCAGTTGGTAGAGCATGGCGCTTGCAACACCAGAGTTGTGGGTTCGTTTCTTAAATGGAAGATGTTTGGAACCACCAAGACTCTTCCTAAAGCTGGCCGCCCGTCCAAACTGAGCAATCTGGGGAGAAGGGCATGGTCAGGGAGGTGACCAAGAACCCAATGGTCATTCTGACAGAGCTCCAGAGTTCCTCTGTGGGGATGGGAGAACCTTCCAGCAGCACAACCATCTCTGAAGCACTCCACCAATCAGGCCTTTATGGTAAAGTGGCCAGACGGAAGCTACTCCTCAGTAAAAGGCACATGACAGCCTGCTTGAAGTTTGCCAAAAGGCACCTAAAGGACTCTCAGACCATGAAAAACAAGATTCTCTGGTCTGATGAAACCAAGATTGAACTATTTGGCCTGAATGACAAGCGTCACGTCTGGAGGAAACCTGCCACCATCCCTACGGTGAAGCATGGTGGTGGCAGCATCATGCTGTGGGGATGTTTTTCAGCAGCAGGGACTGGCAGACTAGTCAGGATCAAGGGAAAGATGAACGGAGCAAAGTACAGAAAGATCCTTGATGAAAACCTGCTCCAGAGCGCTCAGGACCTCAGACTGGGGCGAAGGTTCACCTTCCAACAGGACAACAAACCTAAGCACACTTTCAAGATAACGCAGGAGTGGCTTCGGGACAAGTCTCTGAGTGTCCTTGAGTGGCCTAGCCAGAGCTTGAATCTGATCTAACATCTTTGGAGAGACCTGAAAATAGCTGTGCAGCGACGCTCCCCATTCAACCTGACAGAGCTTGAGAGGATCTGCAGAGAAGAATGGGAGAAACTCCCCAAATACAGGTGTGCCAAGCTTGTAGTGTCATACCCAAGAAGACTTGAGGCTGTAATCGCTGCCAAAGGTGCTTCAATAAAGTACTGAGGAAAGGGTCTGAATACTTATGTAAATGTGATATTTCCACTTTTTATTTTTAATACATTTGCAAAAAATGTTTTACAAAACAGTTTTTGCTTGGTCATTATGGTGTACTGTGTGTAGATTGATGAGGGATTTTTTTTAACAAATCATTTTTAGAATAAGGCTGTAACAAAATTTGGAAAAAGTCAAGAGGTCTGAATACTTTCCGAATGCACTGTATAATTGAGACAATTCAATAGGTAGGCCTAATACTTTTACATTCCCCTTTTTATTTTACCTTTATTTAACTAGGCAAGTCAGTTCAGAACAAATTCTTATTTACAATGAGTGCCTACACCGGCCAAACCCGGACAACGCTGGGCCAATCGTGTGCCGCCCTATGGGACTCCCAATCACGGCCGGTTGTGATACAGCCTGGAATCGAACCAGGGGGTCTGTAGTGATGCCTCAAGCACTGAGATGCAGTTCCTTAGACCGCTGCGCCACTCGGGAGCCCCTGTTGCTCTTATCTTTTTAATTGTGTAGTTTCTCTCATTGATGCCTGTTCCATCAGTACTCATGTCAGACTGTTGATGGTCTGGGGCAGGGGTGGCCAATTGTATCCACATAGGGCCATTGTGGGTGCAGGTTTTTGCTCCAGCCAAGCAGCAACAGCAAGCACACTTACTGAGTTTTAATGGCAGCTCTGCCTTTATCAGTCCCATTCATCCCATGTCCATGGCTTTCTGTGGGTATATTTGAGGTTGTCTCAGTCTCCATAAGTCCCTCTGAAATAGACATCACATTAGACTAATGATTAGTTGGTGAGCTAGCTAGCATTATTTGCTACCGTGGCAGACAGTTGCTTGCTTGAACACTTAAGAGTAGACACTGGGATTTGCCTTTGGCTGGCTTGAACAAGGGTGGTATCTTTATGGCTAGCTAGCTAGAAACCCATGTGTCAGCAACAAAATACTACTGCAATGTGTCAGTAGCACACATTCAGAAAAGCAACAACCACAGCTATTATGATTAAACGATACACTTCCAGATATATCCATGGAAACTTCATGACAACAAGTTAAGCAAGCATAGCTATCTACTGTAGCTAGTTACATTGTATGATTGACAAATACAAACGACAGCTAGACTTTCGCTGCAGCTAACTAGCTAGCTAGTCAAGTTTAGCTGGCCGTAACGTTAGCTAACCATGTCGCTGACGAATTATTATGCATTGATTTAGAGTGAAATATTAATAAAACTATGGTAATATGCTGAGGTGACAACGGCAGTCAGTACCTGATAATTGAAAACAAACTAGCTACCACTGCATGACAATCGACCTGTGCAACACGTTATCAAGTCCGTGTGACGCGTTTAGCCAAATATTTTGTTTCGAGTAAACAAAGATTTCCGTGAGAGAAGGGTTCAGTTGTATTCAATCTTGCATATTTATTCATTGATACTAGAATGTAAAAAATTATAATAAAATAAATATAAAAGCTAGTACTGAGCAACCCGATCAGTTCTTTTTGAGGTCGGTTTGGTTCGATAATTTTTTTTAAAGATCACCGTTTTCAATTTGCTTTCAATACTTTTTTAAACATTAAATACACTTTGAATTATGTGGGTTGAATGCTGTAACAACACAGAATAAAACAATTAATAAAAGACCAAATCAATATTTTAGTAGTTCTTCAAAGTATATAACGCATATGACTGCTGAATACCAACTATCAATCACTTAAGATCATGTATTTTCAGGCAGAGATACCTTGCAAAGCAACTGCTCTCCTCTCAATTGCATAAAATGTAGCTGGCATAAAAAGAAACAGACCGGACAGGTAGGCTTGCAATGGATTATGTTCATTGTAGTTAATTACCACGTTTTCTGCGCTAAACTATGTCGAATATTTGGGCTTGATCGGATGTATCTCTGGGGAAACTGTGCATTGAGCTCACAGAAAAAAACTAAAACGAAGTTGAATTCAAATAATTGAAAGATAACCAAAATGTTAATTGCTGATAGAAAACATGTTTTGATTAAAATGGTGTCGAGATGTTTTGGTATTTCAGACAACAGAGGACGCTGTTGCCTGATGATGATTTGGGCTCAAATAGTTACATGTCTTCGCAGCCATGGCCTGCCGCCTGACTACCCATCCCCATCCCCACGCCCACTAGCCAAACATATGGTTAACTATGCGCCAACGACCTGGGTTCGCTTCCATGCCCCGCCACAATATTGTAGCAAATTTGGGGGGTAGCACCAACCGAGACTCCAAACCGGGTTCAGCAACTGTCAATGCAACACCTTAACAGTTACGCCAAGAGATCCAAAGAGGTCGCTACAATAACAAATATCTGATGTATGCCGGCATGATGCTACTGAGATGAACATAAATTAAATTACTTTGTGTGTGTGTACATTATGTGACATTATGTATTCAGAGGCCTTTGCCCTGTAGCAGAAAGACTCTCCGCTAGTGATAATGGCCTACATTTAGCATTGAACCACTTCAGTCAAACAAGGGAGGTAAAACTTTCTGGGGAACAGCTCTAGGCACCAACTTTGAAAATGGTCTTGTTTTGCTCTTTCAAGAGAGAAATGGTAGGTTGTTAATCCTTCAGCCTGAATAATATCTGTAGGCTCTTGTTTCTCTGGCCTACAGTTCAGTTAGCCTTGTTTATTCAAGTATACTGAACAAAAATATAAAAGCAACATGCAACAATTTCAACGATTTTACTGAGTTACAGTCAATTGAAATTAATTAATTAGGCCCTAATCTATGAATTTCACATAACTGGGCAGGGGCGCAGCCATGGGTGGGCCTGGGAAGGCATAGGCCAACCCACTTGGGAACCAGGCCCACCCACTGGGGCGCCAGACCCAGCCAATCAGAATGAGTTTTTCCCCACAAAAGGTCTTTATTACAGACAGAAATACTCCTCAGTTACATCTGCTGTCCGGGTGGCTGGCCTCAGACAATCCCGCAGGTGAAGAAACCGGATGTGAAGGTCCTGGGCTGGTGTGGTTACAAGTGGTCTGCGGTTGTGAGGCCGGTTGGACGTACTGCCAAATTCTCTTATGGTAGAGAAAATAACATAAAATGCTCTGGCAACAGCTCTGGTGGACATTCCTGCAGTCAGCATGCCAATTGTATGCTCCCTCAAAACTTGAGACATCTGTGGCATTGTATTGTGTGAAAAACTGCACATTTTAGAGTGGCCTTTTATTGTCCCTAGTACAAGGTGCACCTGTGTACTGATCATGCTGTTTAATCAGCTTCTGGATATGCCACACCTGTCAGGTGGATGGATTATCTTGACAAAGGAGAAATGCTCACTAACAGGGATGTAAACAAATGTGTGCACAACATTTTAGAGAAATAAGCTTTTTATATGGAACATTTCTGGGTTATTTTATTACAGCTCATGAAACATGGGACCAACACTTTACATGTTGTGTTTATATTTTTGTTCACAATAACAGAATCGTAAAATAAGTCATAAATAAATAAGTAAATGAGAGGAATGTTAGATAAAATACTGTATGTTGCTAATGCATTGCTTCAAACATGCTCTCTCATTGCAGGGGACATGAATGCCTT